TTTAATGCTTCGGATGTCTGGTTCCCATTACTATAATGGTGAACAATTCTGACTGTAAACTTCTCTAGAAAGACATATTTCACATCGAATGACTTTGAATGATTTTGTTTACATCTAAAGGGTTAATTTTTCAAAATCGGTGGAGTTCCCCTTCAATAACAGGTCATGCACTCTCTCTGAAGTCTTTGTTTATACAGCTGGAGAAAGATATAGAGTGTATAAAATCTTATAATATGTACACTCCCAGGCAAAAACATGGGCCAAACCCAAACTATAATGGTTTTTACTGATGGTTTTGGGCTGGTCAGTGTCCAGATTAAAATCCTATAGAGAATATTTTGGTCTCATATTAAACACAAACTAGCTCTGCAGGGTTTAACTGTTTGAAGCCATCAGTGTCGAGTGGAAAAATATTGACTTATTTTTGTAAAAGAATAAAAAAGTACAGCAAGTTTCCCCTCAATACTTTAATATTTAAAGAAATCAAATGGGAAAATATCCCTTACTAAGTTATTTTATCTTTTTTAATTGTTTAATGATTTATTATTAAGACCATTAAAAGCTTGTTTTCTGCCCAGGAATGAATGCTCTGGAAAAGTGGAACTACAGCAGCTCAGGCTGCTTGTGTCTTCTCACTGCACTCTCAGAAATAAAGGCAGTAAACTGTCACTGGTGCAGGACCCCTCTTGTCACTGGGGTGGTTCCCTCAAGGGTCCATCTCAGTACCTTTAGTCAGGGAACATAACTGAACCATAATCCACTGAAATGATATGTTCTAAGCTGTACTGACTCCACACACCCCGTCTCGCCTCCAGGCTTTTATTTTACTGTTCTGTTTAAAACATTTGGTTATGAAAAGGTACAAATACGAACTTTTCACCTGGAAAAACTGATTTAAGGTTCACAATCAGACCTTAAAACCACTGTTGTACCTTTGAGGGAACATTTACATTGGTTGTACCTTAATGAAGGAAAAATGTACCTGAACAGAACCTTTATTTCTAACAGTGTGAAGTAATCAGATGGCAAGCATGATTAGAATGTGTAGCTTTCTTTTATAATGTTCATTTGTGCACAGTGGTCTCATATCTTCATGGCAATATAGAATAACTTATTGACGAACTTTTAATTAACAGTATGAATCTGAATTTGTAATCTCTGTCACTTGTAATTTTCCTTGTGGATCTGTTTTATTCAGGCAACTAACCTGATAGAGTTCGGTTGCAAAATTAAAATTCATACTGTAATATAGTTCAGAGGAAGCTTAAGGGCAGAAACCAAGTTAGCATCAGTGTTTAGGCCTGTCATGATCAAACTTTAGCTGATGATTAATTGCCACATAAATGTGAGAGTATCAATTTGTTCAGCTATTAAAGTACAAGCCTAAACTGGGCAAACTGGTTGATTAGCAATCTTGTTTCCTAGCTGTCGACAGGACAAACACAGCTCAAACTCAAATAAACAAACATTCCTCACTTCTGCCCTCTAAAGGTGCTTCGGACATCTGGTTCCTAGTACTATAACAGGTGAACTGAATTTTGCAAAATCAGTGAAGTAATTTTACAAACCACCTCACTACTGCCCTCTAAAGGTGCTACAGCACCAGTCAGAAGCTAGAACTTCTGTTGTTCTGAGACCTAGCACGTCTCAATAAATGTTTTCTTCCTTCTTTTATTTATTCACATGTATTTGCTTCAGCTCAATGGATGACAACACACCCAATCCACAATCTGCTAGTTGTGATGTAATCATAAATCATCAGGGTGAACAACCGTGGAAAATAATTGCGGTCAGCTTAGATAATTGCGACAGAGAGCTTATGTCATAATTGTGACAGGCCTATTGTTGCCTCTGCAAATCTGTAAACCTAACCTAAATCATCCATTTCTGCTCTTTGCGCTTTTCATCGTAGGGATGGAAAAAAAGAGAGAGACAGATAGAGAGATGGATAGAGAGACACAAACACACACTGATCCTACATTACGCTTTGGAAGCCTGACATCATTCTGTCCTCAATGGTGTTGGTTGTTCTGCTATTTTTAAAAAAAATTAAACACGCCTTAATTAAAGCAACGTCTGCGCAGCCGTCCCATGTGTCTACACCCTAACGCTGACTTAGAAATCCAGCCTTTATCCTACTTACTTTATCTGTTTTTTAAAAACTAATGCATTTAAAATTTTAGTATAGAAAACATCAACATTAATTCTACTTTTTAGGCCGGCCGACAGCCCTAGTTAGTGTTATTCCTCCAAAACTCACAAGTGGGCGTTGAGCATAAACATCCATCCCCATAACCAGTGGCTCTTAAACTGTGAGTCTTGAGATGGTTAAAAAAATTAAAAAGGTACATATTTTTGAGAATTACTTTCTATATATTTTCCAATACCAATTACCCTGTTGCCAATATAAGCTATAAGAAAGAGTGACTATGTGATGAGCTTCTCACCATCATAGCTGGCTGCACAGTGTAGCTCTACAAAGCCTCCACATTTGGAGTGTCAACTTACCAGAAAACGTCTGCTATCTGAAGCTGATCACCCAGTTACCTCATATGAGAATGCATGTCTTCCCTTTACTGTAATTCAGCTTATAAAGCAGCTTATAAAGCTTATATTTTGCTTCGTTCAGAACGGCCGAGTTGCTAAAGTGCTGTCAGATGCTTGCAAATATCCCCACATTCAGGTTAAAACTCTAATTAAAAGTTAAATTACCACTAAATAAGACTAAATAACAGCAGTTAGCTCCAACCTTGCAGTCTGACTGGCTGAGAGGGATTCTGTGTGTCAATAATCACTCCGCCTTATTCGCCTGTAATGTACCAACGACAATCTGGCTTTAAACAAGTAACATCTGCAACTCTATTACAAGTAAACCTGTCAAAACTAACTATCACGGTATCAAGCAGCGCAAGCGAGCGACAATGGCAAATCCAAACCACTCCGACTGCAAATCAACAAAGCTGTTTACACCAGCTGATTTTGGAAACACCCCATTTCTTTCTTGGCACGTCGCATTGAGCTGACGTTCCACCTTTCATGCTGCCATTAAGGACGTCACCTTTTGTAAAAACATGGTTAAATAAGTCAAAAACTGAGGAAAAACTACTCCACACGGTGGAGAAAAGTGAACTGTGTGATCCTTTCTCTAAGACACTGCAGGCCTGCTGGACGTTTCAGTTAGCAGTGCCACATTTTTAATCTGCTGAGAGCTTCACACACATGTAAAGTGTGCAGCTACCTCTCTGAAGCTATTAGCCGATGCGTCGTTTGTTTATGTTTTGCCTTGATGAGAAGACTCAGCATTTACAGTGTAGACATCCTGAAGGTTTTGCATTGCCATACTTAATTTAGCAGCCTGTATCTGCTGCAGTGCTTTTTTTTTCTTTGTGGAAAATGTAAAAAAACTTTCCTCTAAGTTAGTTTGTGTGAAAATTGTCTCAGGATCTAATAAAAATCAATAGTGAAACTGTGGTGTAGTCAGTGGTATAACTGCAATATCGTGCTGCACTGAGATACCAGCGCTGGTGTGCTGCGGTCGCAGGCCTGAGGCTGAAACACTCTCTCTCGCGCCTTGCTGCGTAAACTGTCATTGCTCGATTTGGTCAGCAGTGGAGTGTTCTGTGCATTTAGTAGCTGTTGTGTGTGACTATTGATAGTATTCAGTTGACGTCACAATCGCGCTGCCGGCTGGACGGCACCCCCAAGTTCATTCAGCAGTGCTGTGGCAGTTTGTAATGAGACAATAAAGCCATAACTGATCCAGCAAAGGCAGTAAAACACGTTTTTAAACCTAAATTTTAAGGCACATTACTCAGTGTATTTCAGTGCACTGACTTGATTTCATTTGATTTGATGTTGCGGTGATGACAAACAAGTCCTGTCGCGTTGTTTTCACGTTCCAAACTGCACTGTAGCAGCAGTATACAAAAAAGCTCATATGTCATTAGAAGTGCACTCATTAGTGTAGTATGTGAAGTACAGAAGTGTGTGGTTTGGGACGCAACGTTAATCAGCCATTGGAGCTCAATCAACAGCTCCAATGGCTGATTAAAGCTTCGCTGTGCTGCTCATTAAATGCTCAGTTAAACATCTTCAAGCAAAAGTTTGAGGTTTTTCAATTCAAATCATTTATTGAGTAAATTAATGCATTTTTTAAGGTAAATTGATGTATTTATTGAGGTAAGCTGATGTTGGCTTCATATTCGCCAACTGTCGAAATTCGTTCTACCTTTAAGGTGCCACAGTGTAACTGCAGCACCATTTAAGGTGGAACTGAAAATCAGAATGAGAAGCTGGTGAATAAGAAGCTGAGCTGAGCTTAATATTTATGTAGGAGTTTATTAATTAAGAGCTTTGGCAGCTTTGGTAGTTAGTTTTTATAAAATATCACACACTGGAATGTTCTGAACTCTGGAGATGTGCAGACTATACGGATCCAGTCCAACAATCTAGCCAATCATCCCGCAGCGTTTTCTGGAGGCTGCATCTAAAGCGTCTTTTTTGTAGTCATTCTGATCTATTTAGCTGGTTTTTTCCACTTGCAGGGTTGTAAATGCAATAAAGGTGATGAGACGAGTTCTATCAGAGCAGTCAGAGTCCCAGCTCGCCTACCAAAATGCCGTTGTGGTCTTCATAAATGACGTAATCGAATACTATGAAATACAATGGGACATGCTAGGAGCAGCAGAAGGGTAGTGTTTTAAAAGGACACCTTCTAAACTATATTTATCGTTCATTTTCTTTTCATTGCATTTGACAAAATATAAAATGAAACCCTAATAATGAGGGCTTGGTTCATTTTTAGGGTGATGATACTTGAATCCGTCCCTTGAGCAAAGACTCCACAGTCAATACTTACCATGTGAAGGTCTCTCTGCTGGCGTTACTGATTTACTGACTGAATAAAAGCCTTTCAGAAACTATGGATTTGACTAGCCACTTGCTTTTCAGGTACTTGTACAAATATCTGTCTAAAATAACAAGAAGAAGAGCATATATACCATCTATAGGCGATGATTTTAATCTGCCGCAGAGTCCATTAACATCCCCGAAAGATTCCTGGATTTTGCGTATTCCCTCAGCCCCCCGCAGTTCCATGAGAGAGCGCAGCTCTTTGAGCGAGCAGCCAAATTCTCCCTCATGATTGGGCTCTGCCACGGAGTTCTTCACCCCACTGTACGAGTTGTTAGCCATGTCGCCCAGTTGCACAGCACTTCAGCGACGATGGAAAAATGGCGTCCCAAAAGGAGAGCTAAATCCTCAGGAGAGCAAAGCCAGTAGTTCCCATAAACAGCTGACGTCCTTCAGAGGAGGAGGAGGAGGAGGACCAACTGTAGGTGGCAGGACTGGGACAATTCAAAAGCCATTTCCCTCAGCTTGCAGCATAAGCTTATTCGTTCATGCTGACAGGAGCCTCACAGATCCTCAGAACACTGGCCATACAGGTCCGGGGGGGGGGCTGAAAAAGAAGACAATAAGAAAAATATAAGGTTAGAAATATATTATATATATTACATACGACACTGCAGAACCAAGTAGTGCTGTTATGAAATTAAACACTGAACACCTGAAGTTTAGCGAGATTCCATCAGGTTTAAAAATAGAAAGTAGGAACCCCAGGTCACTGGCTGAGGTTCAACATGACACACTATGCGCTTTTGCAGGGAACAGATATCAGCATTTATTTGAGGAGCAGCGTGGGAACAAGCCGGCCATCCTAAGCAGCGTTTCCCAAGCGCTGTGCCACGGCAAAATGCTGTGCTGTTGGGTAATGCCAGGTGCCACATGTACAAACCAAAACATACAAAACCACTAATCATTTGTGGGCACAAATTTATTTGACAGTCAAAAAGTAGGCAGATTTACGGAGCCCCTAAGGGACCATGGTTAAAAAAATAAATAATAAAATAAAATAAATAATAATATTAAAAAAAAAATGAATGACGTGCTCCCTTGCAAACGTTTTGCGTTCCCTCGCAAATGTTTTCCGTTCCCTCGCAAATGTTTTCCACTCCCTCGTAAAAAAAATGCGTTCCCTCACAAATAAATGTGTTCCCTCGCAAATATTTTCCGCCCCCTCGCAAATAAATGCGTTCTCTCGCAAATGTTTTATGTTCCCTCGCAAAATATATGCTCGTCAGACAGCAAGCAAACGTAGGACCAGAGGTGCCCAGTGACACTGCCTACATTAGAGCTTTGTTTTTAGCATAGCTAACATTAAAAGCTGTTTTCCCAGTTTGGCCAGTCTGTGCTGAGTTTATTCAGCTGTTGTTCTCTGCATCTCTATAAATGTAGTTTTTACTGTACGAGGACCCTCGACCTCAGTCTCAGTTTGAGCCACTAACAGCAGAATCATGGTTGATTTTGAGAAGCGACACTTTGTCTTTATATTTCAATCCAAGATCAACATAAATTCAGTGAGCTGCTCCGTCTCTGAGCTTAAGCAAAGCACAGCTTTTGCAAACAATTGCAAACCGTTTGCATCGTAATGTAAAATATTTGCGAGGGAACACAACGTCATTAACTTTTTTTTTTTTAACCACGGCCCCTTAGGGGCTCCGTACAGATTAGTTGTGGGCAGTATGGCCAAAAATTTATGGTATAATTCACAGTACATTTTAAATTTATGGTGCTAAAATAGTCAGTCAATCTTGTTTTCTCTACACTAGCCCCACAGGCCCAGCGATAATGGCACTAAATGTAGTTTCATGGTAATTTCTACAGGGCTTCTTGTTCAAATTTTCTTTTCCACCTTAAATGAAGTAGCAATTACACTCTGGCACCTGTAGAGATGTCTGAATGTTACTGCCCCATCATTTAAGGTGGAATGGGAATTTTGAATAAGAAGCCAACTTGAGCTTCATCAAATCATTCGCTTCATATGTGTGTCCCATATAATTGTGCCTCCAACCGTCAGACACTGCTGGAATTTGGAAAACATTACAGTTATACAACTACCAGTACCAGCTGGCTTGTTTTGCAACCCGATTGCAGCAACATCTGATGCTGGTTCAACCACTCTGCTAAAGAGGTTAATGTTAGCGTGGGTTGTGCTGTTTGTACATCATGTTATCTGCGTGTGTTCGTGGCCCACTGGTGTAACGGTTATGATAAAACTCACACCAAAGGAAGAATCTTAACCAGCATTAGGCTCATTACTAAGGCCAATCACCACATATCGCAAGGGTTTTACCACAGTCAACACATATGAACACTGCATTTCAGTCAGAGCAGCTTTCGAAGGTCTTCAAATCATTTGACAAATTACCAGTGAAGAAGTAAAACACAAAGATATGATTTCAGATTTCAAAAAACAAGAGCTTTATCAGTTTAGTGGCCTGAGCACAGCACTATTTCAGAAAATCCTAGCCACAGAAATCTCCCAATGATGCTGCCCAGTCCACTGTCAAGAGTGAATCTGGCTACAGCTGTGCAGTGCCCTCCAGTTTATTCAGCTAATCATACGGTTCTTTTGTTTTGTAGGTTCATTAATAATGATTACCAGCTTCTATTCTAATCATTACTCAATATTCTGGACGTAATGGCCCAAAAAGGCTGGCTGCATGAATTCTGTAAGACTCTGCAAGACTAAATAAGCCCATGAGGCCATATTAGTATGAAATAACTGTTACTACAAGAAGTACAACAATACCAACACCACCAACACCAACAATATATCGCTATATTATCGGACACAAACCTTGTATCTCCATTTTTGTCGTTTTTCGGTTTTTGACATAATTTGAAAATGTCTGTGGCTCTTTACATTGTGTGTAAATTTCATGAAGAATGGACCAAAGGGAATGGGCTAAAATGACTTGGAAAAACGTCTGGTTCCATAGACTTACACTGAAAGTAAAGAAGGTTTTTTCCTTCTCCTGTAAAGTTACTATTTTGGAGACACAAGGTTTTTTTCCGACAACAGCGATATGGGAATCAACTTATTGAAAGGTAGCAAATAGCAAATCTTATGACTCAAAGCATTCTGCCAACTCTGTTGTTGTTGAAGGGGACCTATTGTGCTCATTTTCACTGTTCACAGTTTTATTTTGGGGTTCTACTAGAACAGATTTACAGCTTCAATGTTTCAAAAACACATTATTTGTATTGTACTGTACATCTCTATTCACCCTCTGTCTTAAATGCTCTTTTAGAGCTCCTGTGTCTTTAAGCTCCGCCTCCCTGACCAATCAGAACAGAGTGGTTCTGCCCCTGTCTTGCAGTCTGAAGACAGACCCTTCTCTCCTGAGCAGCTGTAAACTCCACTGTGGCTATTTTAAAGATGCCACCCGTTCTGCCGTATCAGATGGGGCCAGAGTAGATCCTGAAAGCCCGGTCAGCGTCTCCACACGGATACAACACTGAACACACTCTTTCCAGCCTTGAATAGCTGCTGTTCATTGTGTGAGGGCCTGACAAGCTTGCCGGTGGGCAGGCAGTAAGGACTGTGTTACGAGATTGAGTCATCTTGTAACAAAGTAAAAAGGGCTGGAATTCCAATATATTCTATAATATATTGCATATTTATGCAGTTTACGTACTAATATCAGAAGTAATGCTGACTCACAGGCTCCCTTTAATCTCTGACACTACTGACATCCAATAACCAAAAAATAAACCAATTACTGGTATACAAATGTAACTTTCCAAACACCTTTAGATCTCCACTCTCCACTCACTGTGGCACCAGTTCACTGACTGACAGGGCTCAATAAATGATTGTCTCAGAAAAGCTGTTTGATCTAATCAGGCAATATGTGGTACTGGGGAGATCCACAGTCTCTGCTTCTCTAAACTCCTCCTGCTACAAATAACAAAGCTTAAAGCTTAAAGTATTGCCACCATGTTACTCTGTATGTAGGATGTCCTTTAAATTCATTCACAAGAAGAGTGACCACGCAATGTACAGAATATACACAATTATATAAAAACAACTAGAGGTCAAACGTTCGAACGCCCCCAGTCAAACCACACACTTGTGGAACTGAAAATAAGTTCATGCATTCTCTACAGAGAACAAACCTAAAAATGATATTTTTCTGCATGTTTTAGTGCACAATCTCTATTTATTAATAGGTTAATTCGGGTAAAATATCCTTCAAGTGTAAATATTTTAGCTTCTATTTATTTATTTATAATTAATTATAATATTGTTAATTTTTGAAGGATAGAGTCTATATTTTTTTCTCTTACTTTTAGTATTACATACACACACACACACACACACACAGATAGATATATATATATATATATATATATATATATATATATATATATATATATATATATATATATATATATATATATATATGTAAAATACTATACAAACTGTAAAAACCTTGTAAAGTAATTAACAAGGTTAATTAATTGCTTGTTAATTCTCTTCTTGTTACTTCTTTTCTTGCTCTCCCTTTGCTGCTGTAACACTGAGAATTTCCCCGTTGTGGGACTAATAAAGGATTATCTTATCTTATCTGTAACACAATGGTACAGAGCCGTGCTGGTGACATCCTGTATAAATAAAAATAACACGTGGCCACGACTTAATAAGGCATGGGAATGAGATCCTAATGCGTGGCCATGTTTTAGTAAGGCATGATCTCATGGCCATGACTTAACTGTCTCATTCCCACGCCTTACATAGTCGTTGCCATGCATTAGGATCTCGTTTCCATGCGTTAATAAGGCGTGGCCGTGCATTATTTTTATTTATATGGGATATTTATCATTTGCACAGGCCACATTTGGTTTTATTTTTTTCCAATATGTTAAAATTGGCCAATAAACAGTGGGTAAAATGTGCAGAAGTGCGTTCTCTGTAGATGTGTTTTGTTAAATGTGTCTTGACCCAAAACTTCTGCATCTAAACAACAAAGATGTAATAAAACTCAGCTGGTAGACAGAGAAGCTGATAATGACTCAAGTAATTTTTCCACCCACAGAGAAACCAAAAGTGCAAGTGATTACGGTAGAACCCCGCAGTTCATCATGAGGCAGAACAGGACTGATTTCACTGTACTCAAACAGATCACCATGTGCGCCGTCACCTGGAGGTTTCACTCCAGGAGGTGAGCACTGTGCAGTGTGGCTGCACTTCACCATCTGAAATCATCTCAGGAATATCTGCCACAGATGTAACACAAACCTTCAAAGAAAACCAAGTAAGTCAAACACACAGAGCCACACATGGCATTTCCCTAGTGTTCAGGACGAAGGACCCCTGTAGGGCGCCGGCCGTCCCCCCGCCACCCTTACACAGCTCTCCTGCTTCCAGCTCTCGGTTTGACCAAGATGATCGAAGTGCCAACATTTGCTACACAGTGGCAGTTTCGGGTTGCAGAGCAGGTCACGTGTCACAACAGTGGAAAATCATTGTGACTGGATCGCCAAGCTAACAGCTGGGACGGTTTGGGTGAGCAATGGCAGACTCAACCTTAACCCTTCTCCTACTGGGCTACA